GAATAGTGGTCCGATAAGTATACATCTCCAAAAAGCGAATTTTCATCGTCAGACAACATTTCTTGTATCAGTTTTTGTAATTTTTCTTGTACGCCATTTTTTATCTCAAAAACAGTAATTTATCAAGCAAACTATACTTTTTACGAAAATAACACATCGCAAGTAACGATAACGTACAACCTACTGCCAAAATTTAAGTTGTGACTAGTTCCAGTCTGAAACAAATGCCAGTTTGCTTTAATACTAAAACTAATACATACTTAATATATACAGACTAAAAATGACGTCATATAACAACCAAATCATGTTTTTACTACAGGTTTTTCTTAAACTAGCATAATAAGACCATGTTTTATATTTGTTTTCTTCATTTTGACAACTTCGGCCTGTAGAACCCTATTTTTGTGTTACCATGGTGGAACTCAATATGTTATGTACCTAGGATCAGTGTTACAGAGTGTTTGGGAAAGTATGTGCAAATTCATTTCATATTTTTAAAGTTAATATTTTTTCTGTTACGGTACTGTAATGTGATCTAATTTGGTGCTGTATTTTAAAGACCTTTTGAAATATATTGTTTCCAAAACTTAAACTGGATATCTCATTTATGATGTCGTAAATACGGAGAATTTGGCTTCTCTTTTGTATGGTTCAAAAATATACACACAAGTGTAAAGTGTCATGTTACCGTCACAATTAGCTAAAATTATCGGAAAGGTCGCAATACAATGGAATGATTTATTGGTACACCCTCTCGGACCACCGCTTAGAGGGTTCCTTCTTAGCTCTGACCATATCAACGCATTGGCACTTCTTCGTAACACAGTGAACGAAACGCACCACACTTGACCGGTTTCGTGTTAATTAGCCTCGGCGTCCCAGGCCACGGCGTCTTGATGCCCAACGACCAACTCTTCAGCCTGTTACGAATACCTCAATAGAACCAAAGGGTAAGTCCATAGTTCTTAGTACAAAACAACGATAATGAGTAAACCAGTTAATTTCATAATTTATTCACAATTGATAGTTGCTATTTTCGCTAATTTTATGTACAAACAAATATGGCATTTTTCGTTATAATTATTTATCTGATATAATTTAACCAGCGACCTCTCAAGTTTAATCCTAAACACAGAGTAATGGGTTAATCGATGGAGATTCCTGCAGGAGAGTTCGGGTTGGATGTATGAAAAGGAAAGAAGCAAGTGGTGTGTTGTGTGATAGAAAAATTCCAATGAAGCTGAAAGAAAAATTCTATAAAACAGCCATAAGACCAGCTATGATGTATGGAACTGAATGTTGGGCAGTTAAAAAGAAAGAGAAACAGCGAATGCATGTGACGTAAATAAAAATGCTTAGATGGATGAGTGGAGGAACAAAAAAAGATAAAATTAGCAATGAGTATATTAGGGGAAGTCTAGGGGTGGCTCCAATAGTTGTCAAAATGAGAGAGTATAGGTGAAGATGGTTTGGTCATGTTAAACGTAGAGACGTTAATTACCCAATACGGAACAATCGGGTCCTGGAAGTAGTAGAACAAAAAAGACCTGGGGAAAGACGCTTAGTGTGCGTTCATAACGAGACGTCGACCTGTCGATCTGACCATAGGATACCTTGCGTTGGTCTCCGTAATGAACACGCCCTTAGGCAGGATATGTGGGTAAAAATTATTATATTAATATGACCCAAGATAAGGAGAAATCAAATTAAAGGAGCCGACCCGCATAGGGATACAGGCAAAGATAATGATAATGACTTAAATACAGCAGTTTTAATATACGATTCACTGAGTACGATTCATTCAAAACAAGTTCTTCTTCTTCTTTCAGTGCCTATTCGTTCCGAATATTGGCAATCATTCTGGCTATAATTATTTTATTAACTGATGCTTTAAATAGATTCGTTGTTGTTGTGGAGAACCATTTCCTCAGGTTCTTCAACCATGATATTCTCCTTCTCCCAATTCCTCGCTTTCCGAATACTTTACCCTGTAGGATTACCTTCAGTAATCTGTATTTAGTGCTGTTTCTCATTATATGTCCGAGATATTCCAACTTTCTCCTTTTAATGGTATACATCACCTCTCTTTCTTTGCCCACTCTTCGTAATACGGTCTGGTTGGTTATCTTGTCTGTCCATGATATCCTTAGAATTCGCCTGTATAGCCACATCTCGAAGGCTTCAAGTTTTTTCTCCATTGCTTCAGTTAGTGTCCAGGATTCAACTCCGTAATACAATATTGAGAAGATATAACATCGTAGGAGCCTTACTTTTATCTCCAGATTAAGATTGTGGCTTTTAAAAAGTTTGGCCATGTTATTGAATGCACTCCTAGCCTTCTCTATTCTACATTTTATTTCCTGTAAGTGATTCCATTGTTCATTTACTGTTGTTCCAAGATAGTTATACTGTTTTAATCGGTCCACTGGTGTATTATTGATAAGTAGTTGAGCGTCTCTAACTTTATTTTTGCTGATGATCATAAATTTAGTTTTTGTTATATTTACTTGAAGTCCAAATCTTTCACTTACTTCATTTACTTTGTTTATTAGTTGCTGTAAACTGTTCAAACTGTCTGCAAAAATAACGGTGTCGTCTGCATAACGGATGTTGTTTAGGCGTTCTCCATTTAGAAGTATTCCATGTTCGCATTTTTCCAAGACTTCACTAAATATTTCCTCTGAATATAGATTAAATAATATAGGTGAAAGTATGCAACCTTGTCTAACGCCTCGTAGAATCTGGATCATTTCCGTTGGTTCACCTCCAAAATTCGTTCTTATTGTGGCTGATTGGTTCCAGTATAAATTTTGTATTATACGCCGATCTTTATGATCCATTTAGGCTTTTGTTAGAATATCCATCATTTTTTGGTGTTAAACTGTATCAAATGCTTTTTGGTAGTCCACAAAGCAGGTGTAAATATCGCAAGTCATATCTCTGCATCTTTGAAATAATACTTGTAGACTAAACAGTGCATCTCTTGTACCTACGCCTTTCATGAATCCAAACTGTGTGTCTTGTATTCTCTCTTCGCATAGCTTGTATATTCTACGATGTATAATTTTAAGAAAAAGTTTTAATGTATGGCTCATTAGACTTATTAGCCTATATTCTCCACACTTTTTTGCTCCCTGTTTCTTTGGTAAGGTAATAAATTCTGAAAGTAGCCAATCTTTTGGCATATTGCCTGTGTCATAGATATTATTGAAGATTTTACATAGTACTCTTAAAGATTCATCATCAAGAAGTTTAAGAAATTCAGATTGTACTCCGTCTGGTCCTGGAGCTCTACCTTCTTTTAGTGATATTATGGCTGCTCTTATTTCTGCCACTAGTATAGGTGGTCCTGTTTTCGTAGGTATTGGGGGCTGGTTCTCTCTCTCATCAAAAAATACATTTCTTATGTAATTTTTCCAGGTATCATTGATACTCTCTTTGTCCACGAGTATCTCTCCATTGTCATTAACAAGTTTACTTATTCTTCTGTTTTTTGTTTTTGTTTTTCTGTTTTTACTTGAGACAACTTCAAAACAAGTAGAAAAAGTTAAAGATATTACGTATATACTAGTTATAAAAAATATGACAAAAAATACGAAAATCACTTCACGATGAAATTCCAGAACATGAAATAAGATTCAATGGCAAACAACATTTTGAAGCTGATATTTTTGTTAGTAATATAAATATTTGATGGATTCGACCGTTACTTGATTGAAATTCATTTAAATTGTCAAAGATTACCAGTCACATAGATGTCACATAGATTAACAGAAATTCCGATGTCAAAATACAGTTTTGAGACAGAATTAAATATAATTAAGCAAATAGCAGTAAACAACGGATACAACGAACAAACGATTAATAAAATGTTAAATCAAAAACTACACAAGAAAGCCCTGAAATTAGTATTTCCACCACCAGAGAAAAAACCCAGTACCTTCTGCTCGATTACATATACAGGCAAAATAACAACAAAAATTGCCAAACACATAAAAAAGAAAGGAATAACACCAGCTTTCCGAACAAATAACAACCTAGGCAAATATATTAAAAGTAACAAGAGCCAAAATAAAAAACACTTAAATAGTGGTGTGTACAAACTTCAATGTGGCGACTGCCCAAAAACTTACATCGGTCAAACTGGTAGAAACGTTGATAAACGAATAGCAGAACATAAAAGGGCTTCCAAGAATAGAAAAACAAATTCGACATACGCACTTCACCTTCTAGATCATAATCATTCTTTTAATGACAAATTTAAAATTCTTCACATTAAAAATAAAGGCCTTAAGCTATCTTTGTTAGAATCTATGGAAATCAACAAATTAAAAAACTCAGATATAATTCTGAATGACCAACTTGAGACAAACAGTTCTCCCCTCCTCAACCTATTTCATTAGAGACTATAAATTTGTAAACCCAAGCCAAAAATAGATCACTTGAGAAAGGCAATCAGCCGAAACAGCTATAGTGATAAGTTTTAAAATAAATTTTGTGGAAGTTTGAAAACAAAGTTTTCAGTGTTTTATTGTTACATAATATAAATATATTAAATAGTAAAATAAATTTACTAATGTTTGTATTTTGAGGACGATTTCCGAAGTAGAAATTGAAACGTCAATAAACTTACTTTAACCTTTAATTGTGGCTTATTCCCATTTAAATAGTAATCACTTTTAATTTTGCCAGAACAGTTTGAATTTTACACTTATTTCTAACTATTTTACAAAATACAGTTTTGGAATCTATAAATTTAGCTGTCACTCTTTTGCAGTCTTAGGCAAAACTATACGTTATTTTTACAAGAATCCAAAGATTTTGCTACTAATTGTGGCTTGCCTTGTACTTTTAAAATCAAAAGGTTTAGTAGAGTTAAGCATTTCGATGAATTATTACAAGATCAAAGCATCCAAAACCCTGAATAAAGATATAGAATAGGCGTGTTTTCCTGAAATCTGGATGTAGTCATTCAACAAATTCACGCTAGGTTTTTAAGCATGTACAAAGTAAACGACCATTTTAAAGTCTTAGATCCTAGAAGTGGATATCTTTTCAAATCGGATCCAGAATTTGTTACCGAAGCCAGTAAATTAGTTGCTGCGTACTCGTCAGATTTAAGTAATGAGTTTTTGGAGCAACTGCATTTTATTAGAAAATCAATAAGGACACAGTTGGAATCGGCAAAGTCTATTTATGATGCAGCCAAAATTATTTTCATATATTTTCATTGCCAAAATGATTTCCAATCTCCGATAGGAGTGGAACTTGAAGAAGAAGAAGTGCTTGCATACCAGAAGTGTGTCATGCGTATAACTTATACATCTTATTTTTAACTTTACCCGTCACGACCGCTAGTTCAGAGAGATCTTTTTCTAAACTTAAATTAATAAAATCATTGGCACGGTTATCTTCTCTAGCGCTTATAAGTATCGAAAATAAGGTTACCCATCAGATAGATATTAATAAAATTGTAGATATATTTGCTGATAGTAGTGCACGAAGAAAGTTGTTCATCTCATAGAATAATATTATGTAATAATGTAATCATTTATTCATTTTTGTTCTATTTTATTCTATACCAATAAAGATGAAAAAGGTTAGTTGTTATAAAAAGTGCATCAATACACTAACACATAATTATAAGTTTTTGTTACACAAGTCGCATTTAGTAATTTTTTAAAAGGGGCCCCATTTATATTTTGCGAGGGGGTCCTGACGGAGTTTGTTACGCCACTGAGATTTATGAAAGTTTATGAAAATGATATTTAATAATAATAAATATTTTACAAATATAATAGTGGGCAAGGTTTTAAATTCGCTTATACAAAATCTATTTTTAAGTGTATTTGTTTGTAACACACCAAATATTATTTCTTATGTAGACTTTCTAGTTACGCAACCAGTTCAACTTAATTTTTTGTATGTCATTTACCAAGTGTCAAGTGTCGTTGATATTTTCTGTCATTCGTCATTGTTTTGAGTTGATATGGAATTTATCGAAGGCAAAAAATAAATTACGTTTTAAATAGCTCTCAATAACCAATAAATTTGTAGGTATAAGTTAACTTCCATTACTGTTGAAAAATTATTTGATATTATGTCGGTAGGTCAATTGGAAAACCAAAATCCCAACGTTTACAAAAAAAGTGATGACAGAACAGCCACTTTGGATGAAGAGGATGACACTGTAGTTGATGAATTTGATCAAAGAGAAATATTTGGTAAGTTGTGCAATATTTACGATGTTTATGTGACTGATTGAAACAAATTTTTTAGATTTAATTAGAGATATAAACGACCCAGAACATCCATTATCTTTAGAACAATTGCATGTTGTACAGGAAAATCTCATCAGCATTGATAATGGAAAAAATTCAATCCTTATTAACTTTACTCCAACTATTCCGCACTGTAGTATGGCCACACTTATAGGTCTCTCCATCAGAGTGAAATTACTTAGGTGTTTGCCTTCGAGATTTAAAGTGAGAGTTGAAGTTACTCCAGGAACTCATAACGCTGAACATCAAGTCAACAAACAGTTAGCGGATAAAGAACGAGTAGCGGCAGCTTTAGAAAATTCTCATCTTATTAAAGTTATTAATCAGTGTATTGCTTCAAGAAATAGAGGTTAAGATGAGTAACTCCAACATATACCTCACTTCCCCTTGTAACATGGCATCTGCCTATAGTAAATGTGCTAGATACATGAGAAAAATATTCAAGTTTGATCAAATGGACTTTCAATTCGCCATGTGGCAAATGTTTTATTTATTTGTTAATCCCCAAAAACTAATAAAATTGTTTAGGGCTAGGAAGCAAGCTAAATCACAATATGCAAGAGATGATCCTGCCTTTCTAGTTCTTTTTGCAGGAGCTCTTAGTATAACAACAATAGCATTCTCCATAGTTCTCAAATTATCATTTTTCCAATTCATTCAGAATTTGTTGTTTGTAATTTTTGTAGATTGTATAGGAGTAGGCGTAGTGATAGCCACATTTTTGTGGTATGTAACAAATACCTTTTTAAAACCAAAATCTAACCCTGAAGATGTTGAATGGGGATTTTGTTTTGATATCCACCTAAATGCTTTCTTCCCACCCTTAATTTTATTACACTTCATTCAATTATTCTTCTATAATGGGATCATCAGCCACAACTGGATGATATCTATTGTATTGGGAAATACATTTTGGTTATGTTCATGTCTGTATTATTTTTACATTACATTTTTAGGTTATAATTCTTTGCAAATGTTAAATAACACAAGGTACTTCTTGTTGCCTGTACCTTGGATTGTGTGCTTCTACGTCATCAGTTTGTTAATGCATTGGAATATTACTCATAAGGTTATTAATTTCTATAGACATATGTATATGTAACTACTAATAAATATTTTTAGAATAAATTAAGATATTCAGATTATTTACATAACAAATCAATAGTGAGCCACTTTCAACAGAATTATATATACACAGATTATAAAAGTTCATTTAGTATGAATGTAAGTAAAACCAATTAAAATCAGCTATATACAATACAGGTTGAAATAAGAGTGACGATAATAAGTTATATCGTCGGCTTACAAGTGAAACACACTAAGTCAAAAAATATAGTTTTGAGATAATCGTGTTTTAATTTTTTTTAAAAACTGTTTGATCAATTTTCACATTTAAAACTTTTATTTGGTTGTTTTGTAATTATACGAAAGTTTTCATAAAGTATTAATAATGATTACTGATGAGGAGAAGTAAATTATATATTACCAAATTATTAATTTTTGTTTAATTTTCGATTTGAATACGTTGATTTAATGTTTTTTACATGTAGCATTTAATTAGTGTGTTTTACTTGTATAATTTTGCTATGAAAGTATGAGTTACGTGTATTTTTTTTTATTTACTTACTGTCATATGATTATTGCAGGCTTCGTTTACATTGTAAATAATACAATAACTTTTACTTATATAAGTTTTTACTTTTTTCATGTATATTTTTACAAAACAAGAACATTATTAAAAAAAAAAGGTATAATAAAACAAAACGTGTATAACAAAAAAAAATATGCTTCTAATTTTCAAAGTCTTCTTCGTCAGAAGAAGAACTTGGTAGATTTTTGAACCAGGTATGGAGCGCTTGCGGAACTATATTTTTTTCACGGAGCTTTATCAAATATTTTTTCTTTGCATCCGAAATTGGAAGCTGGTTAGAATATAATTGAGGAATAACCAAATTTTCATTAATATTATCCTCTTTGACTGTTCTGTTAGAAACACGACGTACAAAACTAACGTTAATATTTTCATATTCGTCGTGAAAATTATACTTGTACTGTAGAATGTTAGGAAACTGTTTCTCATACTTAAAACACTTTACCTTTAACCAGTTGACCGTTTGCCCTTTTTGATCCTCTTTCTTATTAACAATAGTATATTGTGCAAGTTTTTTCAAATCTAAGAATTCGTTATAATCATGGACGTATAAATAAAGATATTTATACGTCCATGGTTATAATTAACTTCACGAGTATTATAGGAAGATTTTTTATTCCCATTGTTGCCCATTCTGACCATTTTAAAGACATTTTCATATTCGTGAACACTAAAAATCTCCACAATTTTTTTGGCACTTTCAATAGTGCTATGCATGGAATCTACTTCCATATAGGAGTGTCCACTTTCCATGAACTTTTGCTTAATTATCCGAAGACTCGGATGGTTTTTAACAATAAGTAAAAGCAGAGCAGATACTTGAATATTTCTGTTCTGTTCTCCACACGTATCTGAAAAATCGTTAGATGTTCTATATCAGATAATGAATTAATGTACATTCCTAGGCAAGTACCAATTTCACAGCTTCCACTCTTACCATTGACTTCGGTCCAAAAATAACAGAATGCCTCATTTGGTGGAGCAGATTCCTAAATTGTAAAATTATAGAGGTTCAGCTTTCTAAGATAATACAAGAGACTTACTTGCGATGATGGAATTTGTAAAACGCTTTGCGTATCACATGTAATTGATTTAAATTTTTTATTCTTTTTCGATACTTCTTTGTCTGAATTCTTTTTTTTCATTGCAGCCTCTTTTCTGTCTAAATGACTCCTAAAATTAAGCTCCATCGCTTCTTTTTCTTGTAGTGATGCTTTTGTGTATTCCTTACAGGTCAAACATTGGTCTTTCTTAGGTTTGAAAAATGATATATTAAATTCCTTGCAAAAGATTCGCCTATAAGTTATCTGACTTAAGCTTGGCAAATTGTCCTCCTTACACTTTTTAACGAACAGGTCGTGCATTTTTTTAATATTAAGATTGCAATCTTAATAAAGTCTTTTCGAAGATTTTCTAGTGTAGTGACTTTCTACAACAGGAAAGCTTTCAATGTGTTTTTTTGTTCTTATTCTTGTTTCCACTGAAGTTTTATTGCCAGGAATCCTACGGCCCCTTCTGTCTATTCCACTATATTCGCCGCTTTTATTTTGCTCTTTAAAGACATTAATTATAGGCATATTAGAAATAGACAATGTTTTACAAAAAAATTTCTGACACATGACTTTTCTTTAACATATTTGTGAAAAAATAGGATTTTGCGTTGGATCGCATTTTGCTATTTTCTGCTTTTCTAGGCCTGCGACTCTTTATTTCATTAGAAAGCACATTCAATAATATAAAATCTTTCTGTCTTTGAAATGACAACATCGCATAAGTTTGACATAGCAACTTCCGGTTCTCTTCAGAAAAGTTATTTTGGCACTTAAATCGACATTTAGAGCAATCAACCGATTTTGGAATTTTAGGAGCTTGCATTCTACCAGTGGTACTTTTGTAGAGTTTTCCTTCAACTCGTTTGCTTTTTTCAACATTTCTTTTCCACACAGATAGTCTTGGAGTGTTCCATCGGCTTCTTTTAGGTCCTACTTGACTATTTTTATTTGAATTTGTTTTTTCCTCGGCTGCTGTAGAGTTTCCTTCGCTGGTATCTAAATTATCATTTTCATTACCTGAAGGAATATAGTCGCTATGCTCCATACATTCATCAGAATCCTGGTCACTTATTTGAGGAGGACCTGACTGAATATCTTGACAAAAATTATCAGAATTTAGGCTCACGTCTTTGTTTATCGCTGTAGGTAGTTCGACAGAAAATTTTATTTTTCTTACAGAAATTAATTAATAAATACACGCAAAATTCAAAACTGTTAACGAACTAATCACGCAAAACACTATAACAAAACTGACAAAACCTATGCAAGTTGCTCTGCGTAAGTCAGTTGGTAGGTTCATTCGTAGTCAAGTGAAATACATTAAGTCACTTAGTGTGTTTTGCCTGAATCATATATAGTTTTTGAGACTTAGTGAGAAACATGATAATTATAAAAATAACCGTTTTTGTTATTGTATGACTTAGTGAGTTTAACCAGTCTAAAGAGTAAAAAAAATACAATAAAATGCTGCAAATAACTCAAAAGTGAACAAAATTGACTTAGTGTGTTTCGCTTGTAAGCCGACGATATATTCGTATAACCTACTGAAAACAAATTGTCTTTTCATTTAATTCTCTATATTTTCATTTGAAGGGTACAGAGAAAAAAGGATGTATGTCAGAAATAACACATTCTGAAAGAAGCTGATTTTAATTCTTCAAAACGGCACAACAATTATAGTCTTGTCATTTACATTTATCAAGGTATTACGAAAGGTTAAATGCAAGGTTTTAGTTGAATTGCAGAAACATAAATTATTCTACTTTATTTATATTGCCAAACATTTAGCAATTTTACACGTTAATTCAAAATATTAAAGGGTCAATCCATACGAAGTGATCCAATATAAATTAAGTTGGTTGCTTGACTATTTTTAATATTTTTTATTTTTCTACCAATTAAACTTCAATTTATAGAGTACACAAAATTGCATTAATTTTATTTTTAAAAAAATCATTTCACCAATGGCGGCCATTTTTGTTTCATCGTGTTGATTATTTTCAGGAAAAACATGACTTCGTTCTTTAGCCAATATTTTCACTTAGATTTGTCCTAGAACAATAGCATTTAAGTATGACTTAAATTATGACCGTATTAAGACTTTAAATGGACCTCAAAGTTTGAAAAGGTAAACTGATAAAATTTCATTTTCAGCATGTTTTTAACAACATACGGCAAACTGATAATGGTTTGTAATTTTTTTCTGGAAAAGACATACATACATACTTTAAATGAAAAAAGTTTGAGCTTTGAGACTTGAAGTCAATTTTATCAAAAAAAAAATCTCAAAAATGTAAGTTTTTGAAAAATTTCATGTTTGAGCTCTTATGTTTCTGATGGACAAGCAAGTAAAAATTTGAAATTTGGCTGAATGTTAGTTCCTAATGAGTAGAATAAGGGTACAAATTTGAAATTGTTGACTTAAGGCATATAGGAGTCATAGGCCTGAAAAAATGGCAAAAAATCATTAATTTGAGTGTTTGCGGTAGAGTAATTAAAATTCAAATAAACTGTCTAATGAAATAAAAATTAATGTATTTTTTCCAAATTTCACAATAAATACAAATTTATACTACATTATAGAAATATTAACCTTTATTTAGAATTTTCACAGTTCAGAAGTTGGGATATTTCATTACATAAATCTTGAGATATGTTATGATTACGTCCAGTGGCTGTTTTTAGTTCTGAGGGTGTGATTTTCTTCAAGATTTTATGAAAAGGCACCCAAGCTTCATCATGAGCACTTAAATGATGTCTGGGTTCAGAATGTTAAAAAAAGTGCACATAGAAGTCATGATGTTTAATGCTGACAGTTTTTATTACCCCTAGCCAAAACTTTCCATCATACACACAGGCTATTACATCATTTTCACTTAGGGAAATGAAGATAGCACTTGTGAAAAATTCTAAATATTTAGTTGCCTGGGATGTTTTAAAACATTTGACTTTATTTTCTGAGATTGGTACAATTCAATGAACAGAATGTGGCCAGGAATTTTCAAATAAGTTTTAAATCTTTCTTCAAGTTGTGATTCATGCTGTAAGATTTCTTACTTTTAATATACCTTTTAAATTCTGTGAACAGAAATCAAACATATATTTTGCAGTTAAAATTCGATTCTTACAAGTTGATTGTAATACTGGTTTTAGTAACTTCTCTTTTTGTTGTGCCGCCAATACCATCGCATGCATTTCCCCCGTTGCAAAAAGTGCCATTCCGCCTGTAGATCAAAATCTTGCTCACAATGACAGATATTAAGGAAATTTTTTTATTTTTATATTAGCTATTGGCACCATCAGTAAAATAAATTACTCTTTTAACAGCTGGAGCAATAGCTCCAATCTTCAATGAAATATTTCTGAAAATAGTGAACCACGGCAGTATTATGATGTTGATAGTTACTTATGATGCCTAGAAGATATTTTTGTTGTGGACTG